AGCCCCGCATGGAGAGGGTCCGGCCAGGCAGGAGGGACCCTGAGGGAGCGAGGGCCGGGGAAGGGTAGGTCCTGCAGCAGGCGTCACCTCCCTGGAGCGGGTCCCCTTTCGCAGGGCCTTTCGGTTTCCTCTTCCGAACCCCACCCCGAGCGTCTAAGCAGAGGTTCCCTGTTCTCCTAGTGGCCCAGGAAGGAGGCAGCCACCAGAGCAGCTGAGCTGTGGCTGCCCTCAGCCCAGCACCTGCACGGGGAGGGGACGTGGCCCCAACCGGAGACCCCGTCCTCCTCCGGCCACCAACCACAGTGTGCCACGGAGCTCGGTGGGCCTGCTGGTCGCTGATTCTCTCTTTTTTTTTAAAAAAATATATTTTTATTGATTTCAGAGAGGAAGGGAGAGGGAGAGAGAAAAGCATCAATGATGAGAGAGAATCATGGACCAGCTGCCTCCTGCACGCCCCACACTGGGGACCGAGCCCGCAACCCGGGCCTGTGCCCTTGACAGGAATCGAGGCGTGACCTCCTGGTTCCTGGGTTGACACTCAATCCCTGAGCCACGCCGGCCGCTAATGATCTCCTGTCTGAGGAGCATCGCGGAGGTTCAGGATTGACAGGCGTGATGCCCGCTCGGAAAGACTGAGCGACGGGAGGGCCCGGAACCTTCTCTCCCGTCGGCAGCACCTGGTTTAAACCGGGAGGAGGCGGAGGGGGCGGCGCTGTCTCAGCCTCGTGCTCAGGACTCACGCGGCTGGCAGACAACAATCGCCGGCTTGATTGAGGGGCTCATTTGCTGCTTCTCCCCAGCTGCTAAGCGGAGCTGACAGAACTTTGAAGAAAGGATCTTTACAGAAACACGCCCGTAAGTGACATTTGCAGGGATGACACAGACAGTCGCAGGGCGAGCGGCATACAACGTTTCCCTTGCAATTCTCTGGGGAGGATGTGCTGCGTAGGACTCAAACCCACAGCTGGCGGCACACTCGGGCTCTCGCAACGAGCGAGGGAAAGGAAGCTGGGGGTTCGTGAGAGCCCAGCACGTGCGGGAGTCACACGGAGCCCAGCGGGGCCGTGGGGACATCAGCCGCGTTCCCAGCGCGGCTCCGCGAGCCCCTAAAAATACTCAGAGGGGGAGGCGAACCGCAGTCCGGGGGGGAGGGGGAGTGGCTGGGGCGACGGCTTTCTGATGAGCGCACGTCCGTGGCAGAGCTTCCACCACACGGGCTGCGTGTGACCGTCAGGGTGACCCAGTTCATCGGAAAAGCACGGCAAGCCCTGGCCGGTGTGGCTCAGTGGATAGAGCGTTGGAAAAGCATGGCAAGCCCTGGCCGGTGTGCTCAGTGGATAGAGCGTCGGCCTGCGGACCGAAGGGTCCCGGGTTCGATTCCGGTCAAGGGCACGTACCCTCAGTTGCAGGCTTCTCCCTGGCCTGGGCCCTGGTGGGGCGTGTGCAGGAGGCAACCCATCGATGTGTGTCTCTCACATCGATGTTTCTCTCTGACTCTCCCTCTCCCTTCCATGCTCTACAATCAATGGGAAAATTCCCTCAGGTGAGGATGAACAACAAGAAGAAAACGCTTTGCTGGTTAAAAACAAGGTTCAGAGCCGCCGGCTGGCGTTAAGGACCCTCCGCTCCGACTCCCTCGCTTGCTTTTTGCCCAGGTGCCTGCCCTCCGTGCACTGGGTGCTGTGGAAAAGAGCCTGGGCATCTGCGGGGTCCCGCCCCCAGCACGGGCTGTGGCGGGAGGAGCTGACGCTGGCCAGACACGCCCTGCCCTGGCCCTGGAGAAGGGCTTTTCAATCCCGACGACGAAGGGGGTGAGTGGGGGGTTCTTATCATCTCAGGGTTCAGGGTCATAGCCAAGTGTAGCAGCACCTCACAGAGGGCAGCCCTGAGGGGGCTGCAATGGGCATGTGGCGTTGGGTGTGTTCTCCGTGTCACGGAAAAGCTGGCTGAACACACAACACACAGGCCCCGGGCTCAGATTTGTTAGACGTCCTGGTGGTGGCACCTGCCTGTTCCCCAAACCACCTCCGAGGACCCTCCCAGATGCCCGCTGCCCGGGAACCTGAGCGCCCCACACCCTCCAGATGCCCGCTGCCCGGGAACCTGAGCGCCCCACACCCTCCAGATGCCCGCTGCCCGGGAACCTGAGCGCTTTAGACCCTCCAGATGCCCGCTGCCCGGGAACCTGAGCGCCCCACACCCTCCAGATGCCCGCTGCCCGGGAACCTGAGCACCCCAGACCCTCCAGATGCCCGCTGCCCGGGAACCTGAGCACCCCAGACCCTCCAGATGCCCGCTGCCCGGGAACCTGAGCGCCCCGATGGTGGCCGAGGGGTTGAAGATGATGTCGGCCCCGTTGACGCTGTACATGAACCAGTTGAGGGGGTGGTGCCGCCCGTAGCAGATGTTCACCGCGATCCTCCCGAACTGGGTCTGGAACACGGGGTGGCCCAGGTTCCCCTCCATGTAGTAAGTGGACTGGAAGACAAAGGCCGTGGCTTGATCTGTTTCCCTTTTAGAGGGAGAGAGAGAGAAACACCCACCGGCTGCCTCCTGCACGCACCCTGGCCAGGGATCGAGCCCACAGCCTGCGCCTGTGCCCGGACTGGTCCATGGGACGATGCTCCAACCAACCGAGCCCCACCAGCCGGGCCATGTGCTGAAGCCTCTGAGCTGTGAGAGTTCCCTGTCCTTAGACTCGGCAGAAAAAAAACAAATATCGCCAGTTCTCCAGAAGTGCCCCTCGGGGTGTGGCTCGCCTTTAAGTTTGAAACTCCAATGTCTCCAAAACAAACAAAGCACAGAGAACCCCACATAATAGCGAGGAGCCAGCCCAGGGGAAATCCCCGGGGCTCCCGCATTCACCCGCAGTTTCTTTTGTGACGTCAGAAAAACACCCCAAGCAACTTCCCTCAGTATCTCAAGGCCCAGCGTTGGTGAGGTCTCGGTTGGTGAGGTCTCGGTCTCGGTGCAACAAAAGGTTGAGGTCTGGTCAGTGTTAACGTGAGCTGATCAATGTCCTCACCAGTCACATGTTCCTATAAAGAAGGTTAGAGCCCGGCCGGTGTGGCTCAGTGGTTACAGTTCGATTCCCGGTCAAGGGCACATGCCCGGGTTGCGGGCTCGACCCCCCAGTGTGGGGCGTGCAGGAGGCAGCCGATCGAAGATTCTCTCTCATCATTGATGTTCCCTCTCTCTCCCTCTCTCTTCCTCTCTGAAGTCAATACAAATATATTTACAAAATAAAGAAGGTTAGAGCTGAAGGGACCGGAGCTCATCAAGAGCACCCCCCGCCCACCCGGGGGGGAAGGTGGGAGCCTCAGTGGGCACATGACCTGCCAGCTCATGAAGGCCAGCCTGAGCCTGGAACTCCTGCCCTGAGAGGGCTCGTCCTGGCCACGTCCCTGGGCTCCCTGCGCAGGCTGAGGGGTCCCTACAGGCAGACAGGCGGGAGA